GTAGTTTTACGTCCAAGTTTTACATACGGAAAATGTATGCACGCATGATTTTAAGTCGCTTAGGATAAAAGCGTCTGCTAAATGGAATATATTATTATTATATTAAGTACCTATGCACACCTGCTCTGGCTAATACACATCTAACTTGGAGCTCATATCAGATATGCAATGTGTTCAGTGAGGCAGGTTTCAAAGAACCTGGCAATGTGCCTGGGTTTGTCTCCACCACTATTTGACCTCTGTGACCCCTATAGCAGATTCCCTATCTATTCTACCAAGACCAGGTGGCTACTACTTGAGTGTAGCTCTGAAGGTTCCGTAACAGCTCTCTGTAACCTTATTGCCAGAACCACATTTTTCTTTTGGATGAGTGAGTCAGTTTTTCTTCTCTCATGTGTTGAGGCTGCAACTGTTTCTGGACATAATTTCCCACCATACCATCAGACCATTAGACTACCAGAGACGACTCTGTCCTGTCCTTGATTTCCTGCTCCAGAGACTCCTTTATTTAGTTAATACGGCAATACACTGTGGCTTATAATCAGTAATGGCCTTAGATCCCCTTGATACATTTACATTTTACATTTAAGTAATTTAGCAGACGCTCTTATCCAGAGCGACTTACAAATTGGTGCATTCAACTTAGGATAGCCAGTGGGACAACCACCACTGGGGGAGGGGGGGTGTAGAAGGATTACTGTTATACTATTCCAGGTATTCCTTAAAGAGGTAGTGTTTCAAGTGTCTCCGGAAGGTGGTCAGTGACTCCGCTGTCCTGGCATAGTGGGGGAGCTTGTTCCACCATTGGGGTGCCAGAGCAGCGAATAGCTTTGACTGGGCTGAGCGGGAACTGTGCTTCCGTAGAGGTAGGGGGGCTAGCAGGCCAGAGGTGGATGAACGTAGTGCCCTCGTTTGGGTGTAGGGTCTGAGCAGAGCCTGAAGGTAAGGAGGTGCCGTTCCCCTCACAGCTCCGTAGGCAAGCACCATGGTTTTGTAGTAGATGCGAGCTTCAACTGGAAGCCAGTGGAGTGTGCGGAGAGAACTTGGGAAGGAGTGACATGAGAGAACTTGGGAAAGTTGAACACCAGACGGGCTGCAGCGTTCTGGATAAGATGTAGGGGTTTAATGGCACAGGCAGGGAGCCCAGCCAACAGCGAGTTGCAGTGATCCAGACGGGAGATGACAAGTGCCTGGATTAGGACCTGATACACGTATTTTACGATTTTATGCTTTTCATTTTACATTTGTCCCATAAGTCGCTTAACAAAGCATGAATGATCAGACATACAGTTGAAGTCGGAAGTTTACATACACTTAGGTTGGAGTCATTAAAACTCGTTTTTTCAACCACTCCACAAATTTCTTGTTAACAAACTATAGTTTTGGCAAGTCGGTTAGGACATCTACTTTGTGCATGACACAAGTCATTTTTCAAACAATTGTTTACAGACAGATTATTTCACTTATCATGTATCACAATTCCAGTGGGTCAGAAGTTCATACATTCTGTCTTAAACAGCTGGAAAATCCAGAAAATGATGTTTCTTTAGAACTGATACAATTGGCATTTTTCTGTATGCAGACTGGGACAGAAACATCTAACATCCTATGTAATGTGAACAATGTGTTGTGACATTGAAATAACATTGTAATAACAACCCAGTTTGTACAAAGCCCATTTAAAGCAGTGCATCCTGGTCATTATGTCCAAGAGAGGGGTTATTATTCTACTGAATCTCTTGGATAATTTGGATGCGCTTGTTGAATCATGGAGATAACAGATGAGTGATTTCTTGGTTGCCAACTGGCTGTGATATTGTGTTAGAGCAGGAAACACAGAGGGGATGAAAACAGTGGGGATAGGTTCGATTTCACACCAGGTCTAAGTCACATCAGTTGGTTGAAATATGTTTTGTAACAGCAGCTTCAGTGTTCAAGTAGTAGTGTATTAGTGACTGAGTAATAAGAAAACAAGAAGCTTTAGTGTTGTCATTTTCATCGGGGAATAAACTAGTTCTCCTGGGAGGAATTATTTTGGGAATCTGTAACCTTACACTCCTAACCGAGCACCTCATGTGATAAGACGAGGCAAGTGAGCAAGGATAGCAAGATTGAGACAGATGGGAAATATGCAGAAATAGTTGTTAGTGAAAGGCATGTCTGAACATACATTTAATTAAGTTTGACATTTGAAGACAATGTATGGGAGAGAGGAAGAGGGAATATGAAAAGTGAATGATGCAATAGTAAGATAAATGGACGGATCAAAAGTCTAATAAGTCTAATGTGTTTGTAGATATAATGTAAATACTGAGAGGCAAAAATACTCTTACAGAGAGAGGAGAAAAGACAGAACGACCGGAAAGAAGTAAAGAAAGAGAGGAACAGCAGGAAGCGCTTGAATAGGGTGATGAAAATAAGACACATGGTGATGGGTGAGGGATGGAGGAGGTTAGCCAGAAATAAATATAGAGGAAGAAGAGATGAGGAAGATCAGGAAGGAGAGATGGAAAATTAGAAAGGAGGGGAAGAGGGGATGATGGAGGAATACACGGAATATACATCCCATAATTAGCATGGTAATGGCCAGTTAAAGGCCACACAATGGATCACTGTTGAGTCCAAGTTTTTCACTTTGGAGACAATGCACAATAGAGTTGGTATGAGCCCCAAATCAATCTAATAGCCAGCATGTAGCCCACCCCTCTCTCTTTTACCACCCCACCGAACACACTCTCTAACTAATAAAGCGGTATTGCCTCAGGGCTTGAAGCTATAAACTAGTCCTCCCCACTCTGAACCTTTTCATCTGCTGAGCAAAATGCCTGACCACTTCTCTAAAGGTTAAGAGGTCCAAATTGTACCCATTGTTATAGATACTGTAAAGAGACAGTGTATTCTGAGAAGAGCAGAGGATAGAGAATAGGATCGAGCAGGGGATGGCGGGACTAATGAAGAAGACGCTGAAAGGGGAAGTGCCTCATTAGCCTGAAGAGGAGGGTGATTTTAACTTAATTAAAATCGGAAGAGAGGAATGATCTCATCAAGACAGAGGAACATTCAAACGCAGGTGATGGTTGCACCTTCACAAAATAGATGGCATCATGAGGAAGGAAAATTATGTGGATATATTGAAGCAACATCTCAAGACATCAGTCAGGAAGTTAATGCTTGGTCGCAAATGGGTCTTCCAAATGGACAATGACCCCAAGCAGGACAACAAAGTCAAGGTATTGGAGTGGCCATCACAAAGCCCTGACCTCAATCCTATAGAACATTTTTTGGCAGAACTGAAAAAGCGTGTGCGAGCAAGGAGGCCTACAAACCTGACTCAGTTACACCAGCTCTGTCAGGAGGAATGGGCCTAAATTCACCCAACTTATTGTAGGAAGCTTGTGGAAGGCTACCAAATACTAATTGAGTGTTTGTAAACTTCTGACCCACTGGGAATGTTTAATAAAAGCTGAAATAAATAATTCTCTCTACTATATTCTGACATTTCACATTCTTAAAATAAAGTGGTGATCCTAACTGACCTAAGACAGAATTTTTACTAGGATTAAATGTCAGGAATTGTGAAAAACTGAGTTTAAATGTATTTGGCTAAGGTGTATGTAAACTTCCGACTTCAACTGTAACTGCCTCAGTCTGATAGTTGATCTAGGGAGCTGGGTGGTGAACACACTGGATCAAACCCACCACTAGAGGGAACGTTTGCCTCAGTATACTCTACTGGAGACCTCACTGATGGAATAGTCTTCAGAGTCACCTAGTGGCACAGCATGAGAACAACAACCCCAACCTTCCTTCCCTTCTATATCTCCTCACTCACTTACTGCATTTCCTTATCTGGATTCAAGTGTTTGTTTGTTAGTGCACAAACATTGTTCATATTCTACATGTACAGAGACAATCAAATAATAGACATTATAAATATTTATTTTCAACATCAAAAGGTATACACAAGGAATAAAGTGCATTATATTATTTACACACTGTTCAAGCTTGTGTTGGTCAGGGCATTTGTATGTTCTGTTCTGTGTTTCTCCATGCATGGTTTTGAATATCACACTTAATGCATGTTAATAGAGGTGTGCAAGCAGGAAGACTGAGCAGCAGAGATAAATTAACACAATTATTTTAGGAAATAATATTACACAATTGGTTTGTTTTACAAACATACATTGTAAACCAGATATGGTAGCGTAATAACTGGTTATTTTTGTGCTTAAAGATTGCTCACTGTTATCTCTCAGCATTTACTCCATGCAGATGCTAGCATATCGAAATGTACACATAACCCGTCAAATACAGTATGTTCATTGTGGAATTTTGTTTAACATAAAAATATAAAGTACCAGTTGCATTGTGTTAGCAACTTTTCCCATGTGCCTCAACTGTCACAAAGGTCTGGGTATTTTAAAAAGTGCAAGTTTTGATTTGAAAAGCATACTGTCATACTGAATGCCCAGTGCTCTCTTTCACACACACAAAGACACACACAGACACACACACACACACACACATACACACACATTCAAGTTTACATAATCTTTACAAACAATCTTGCAGATGTAAAAATGTCAAAAGTTACGCAAGAACAAAATGATGTTGGAAAAGGATGAAGAGGAAAACAGGTGCAGTGTAGTGCAGGAAACAGTCAAGGTACATGTACATCTTTCAGACAACTACACACAATAGGAGCAAAGGTAAATGAGATTCAAGGGTCAGAAAAACAATTTGAGTAATTTCATACACAAAGATGTTTCTATATTCAGTCTCTCTAAAATCAATCTTTATGAGATCTCAAGTTCTAAAGAGAACTGCTTTCAGATTATTCCCCAAAGGTATCTATCAGGAAAGGGAATGTCTTAAAGGTGACATGAGAGGCCAGATAAGTAACTTATGATAAGTTGTCTACTAATCACTGAAGAGAGGGAGTTTCCATTATGTTACATTCATGCTCATTTTGCAACACAAAAACAGGGCTTTAATAAAAATTTGAGAAAAGCCACCTAATTCTGGAAATGAAAACACCTAGTTTTTTTCTCCAGTGTATGAAGAACTGAATTCCCTTAGCTAGGATTATTCAATGATTGCATTGGTCATTGTATAGTTGTCATTACGCACAGTAACAACCAATAAGTTATTCATTGATCTATGCTAAAGACAATATGAAAACAATGTGTGTACAGTAGTAAATTAGGGAGCAAAGAGGCTCAGATTAAAAGTTGACTGAGGAAAAATAGTGCAAATAGTAGAAAGCAGCAAACGATCCTGTCTATTATATTGCACACCTGAATTGAGAGTTGATATAGTATTTGAACCCATGTATGATTCATATTACATATTTATTTCATAACACCATTCATTTTATGTTTTGGTTGATAATACATCAAAATATCATGTATCATGTCCAAATTAAACAAACTATGTAATAAGACTATGTAAATAAACATCATACCTACCTACTTGAATGTCACTCAGATTTTCTGGGTATCTTCCCTGCATATTTCCTTCTGATACAGTTTCTGAAGCAGAAGTCCTCCTTTGGTTAAATGTCTGTTTATCCTTCATTACACACGTCTCAACAAGTCATTATTTGTCTCATCCTCAGCTCTCTGATGGAACTGTCCATTCATCTCTTGGTGTTCCTTCCCTATTACCCCATTATAAAAGTAACGCGTTCATACAATCTCATGTGTAATGATCTCTCTAGGTGACCGTCCCACAGCCCAACTGAGGTACACATATGGGTGAGGTGTGCAGAGTAGGACCACTACTTAGCCTCCCATTTGGTTCTCTCTACAAACAAAAACATGGGCTCAGGTAAAAGTACAACATAATGCTGGCAAGGCGAAAGGGGTGCAGATCTAGTACTAAACCCAGAGCAAAACGTGCAAAATACAAAAGGAAGACCTCTCTTCAAGACCTACAGGTAGGTCTATATGAATATAGGGTTTGGGAAGGGTCTGAGGGTGCCATCCCTTTGCCTCAGATTCCTGACTTACTTTTATATGTCAGTGGATCACGAGTAATGGTAGTCTGTAGAATGTCAAAATCCATCTGATTGTCCATGTCCAAAACGCACAGCACGTTGCTGCCGGATGTCATTGTGGCTGTGTCCTGAAACAAATTATGAAAGTCTACAGAATCTGAATTCCTCCTTTCCTCCTCCCTGTCTTTTCCCTTTTGCCTATCCAGTTCCTCCTCGTCCTCTCCACAGCTCAGTGCTACCTCATTCTCATAGCAGAAGGCGCTGGGGGAGTGGGGGGTTGCGAGGTGCTGGGTGAATACTGAGTGGGAGGAGGTGGATGAGGCAGGCTGGCTGGCCGTCTCACTGAGCTCCTTGGCGCTGCAGTGGGGTGTGGAGGGCACCTCGTAGGTCTTGTGGAAGCGAGCATAGTCCACCTGATACTTGGTTCGGTCCTCAAAGATCACAGGCTCAAATCTATGCCCCCATAGGATCTCCTTGGCCAGATAGGAGCTGCGGGCCTGGGTGGTCATGGCGGTGGCCTCCACCATACCCTCCAAGATCACTACGATCTCAAAGTCATCCGACTCCAGATCAGCCCGGCTCAAAGTATATAGGGGGCTGTCCTCATCGATCTCATGGACGATAACCAGAGGAGAAACCAGGAAGAGTCTGTCTATGCCTTCGTCGTAGCCTACGTTAAGATCCCTCTGCTCTAGAGGGATAAACTCTCCCTCTGCCGTGACGTAGGGTCGAATGAGCTGTGCCCGCACATGGGCCTCCACGATGTGGCTCTTGCGCAGGTTACCCACCCGCCACATGAGGCACAGCTTGCCATCGCGCAGGGAAATCACAGCATTTTTAGAAAACAGCAGGGTCTGGTTCCTCTTCTTAGGGCGTGCCATTTTTACCATGATTGTGCCAAGCATGAAGGAGTCAATGATGCAGCCCACAATGGACTGGACCACCACTGTGATCACTGCCACAGGGCACTCCTCAGTGACACAGCGCCACCCATAACCAATGGTGGTCTGGGTCTCGACGGAGAATAGGAAGGCTCCGACGAAGCCCTCCACATGAAGGAGGCATGGCTGCCACTTTTTCTGCACCCCTTCAACTTCACCAACCCCAAGCCCATTCCCTTCCAACCCTGAAGAGGAACTCATTCCAGGGTGCTCGTCAAAATCCCCATGGGCTCTGGAAGCTGCATAGAAGATTATTCCAAAAAACATCCAGGAGGACAGGAATGTTGAGCAGAAGAGGAGTAGTAAGTATCTCCAGCGAATGTCCACACAGGTGGTAAAGATGTCGGCCAGGTAACGTTGTGATTTGTCCTCCATGTTAGAGAATACGACATTGCAATGCCCATTTTTCTTGACAAAGCGACTTCTTAGTTGGCTCGATCCTGTGGTAGAGATCTTTCCATTGTAATTGTTCATTCTATAACCTATGGCTCCTGATATCCTATCTCCTCCGGATGTGCCACTAGGGGAGTGGAACCGGCTATTTGGCGAGCTGTGGCCGTTGTGGAGCCCAAGTGTGGAGATTTTCAGGCCCTCCTCATCTGATGCTGCGAAGCTGTACCTGTTGGGTTAACAAACGGGGAAAGTATGGATAAATAAGAAAGAGATGTGAGAGTGGTTTGAGAGAGGGTGTAGAACAGGAAGAGTTGAGGTTTTAATACAGTGTCCATAATCTCATTGGACTATCTGTTCTTACCAGTGTGCCCTACAGGACACAGTGACTATGCATAGCTTGCCAACTCTGCCCAGTGAGAGAGACATAATGTATGACTCACATTCTCTCATGCATTAAGACCGCACTTAGACAGGATATGCTGTGAATGAGAAATGCATTACAGTCCTATAAGTGTATCCTTCCTGAATACAAAGGTAGCATGAAAATATGTTTTCTCACTTTCCTCAAGACCATTTGACCTACCTCTGGTAACCTCTTAATATTGACTGACCTGTCTCTCTCCTTTGGAAAGGATAACCTGGGAAGGTGAGTTGTGTTTAGCTTTGTGAGAGGGATTGCGGTCATCATGGGTTTAGGGATTATACATGAGCCAAGTCTCTTGGCAGCCTATGTTGACTGGGACATACAGCCATTATATTGACCAATTTATAGTGCTCCATTGATCAGGAAACTATATTCAACCATATACTTATTGCATTTTTAATGGTTGTACTATTTTGGTTCCATTCATTTGATATTCAAGTTATGTACATTGGCGAGCTAAGGTTGTCCATTTCCCTGTAATAACTCAAATAAGGAGAAGCATTGTCAGCTTTGGGGACATAAGGAATGACCAGTGGTGGAAAAAGTACCCAAATGTCATACTTGAGTAAAAGTCAAGATACCTTAATAGAAAATTACTCAAGTAAAAGTGAAAGTCACCCAATAAAATACTACTTGATAAAAAGTCTAAAGGTATTTGGTTTTAAGTATACTTAAGTATCAAAAGTAAATGTAATTGCTAAAATATACTTAAGTATCAAAAGTAAAAGTATAAATCAGTATAAACCAGACGGCACCATTTTCTTGTATTTTTTATTTACGGATAGCCAGGGGCACACTCCAACACTCAGACATCATTTAAAACAAAGCATGTGTGTTTAGTGAGTCCGCCAGATCAGAGGTAGTAGGGATGACCAGGGATGTTCTCTTGGTAAGTGTGTGAATTGGACCATTTTCTTGTCCTGCTAAGCATTCAAAATGTAATGAGTACTTTTGGGTGTCAGGGAAAATGTATGGAGTAAAAAGTACATTATTTTCTTTAGGAATGTAATGAAGTAAAAGTAAAAGTAGTCAGAAATATAAATAGTAAAGTAAAGTACAGATACCTCCCAAAACTACTTAAGTACTTTAAAATATTTTTCCTTAAGTAATTTACACCACTGGGTATGACACAGGTATGACAGCTTCCTGTCATGGTGTCCTCACCTGTTGGCCCGTGCTGTTCCCATGGCACCAGTGATCGATCATCAGGTGGTCAGTAGGTCTATAAGTGGGGTGGGAGGCTGGACTCAGTAGTCTACTGCGAAAGATTTGGTATCGGCATGGCAACTGTCAATGTGTGCATGGATGGCATCCCCGGTGAAGACCACTACAGGGAGAAAGATTAGACATTTTGCCAAGATTCCTATACAGTACAGGTGTAGGATCTTTCTTTTACCTATATAATCACAGCAAAATAGTCCTGCAGCAAAAGGATTCGAACATTTAGTCCATAATGTTGCTTGATTGGTGGTTAGGCTATTAGCTGGTCAAAATGAGGCTACATGAAAAGTGGAATACTGTTAATATAACTGTGTGTTAGTACAGGTTTTCAGTGAATGTATGATATCACAAAGCTCACTGCATTTCCTGCGGCTCAGGAAAATTCCTCAGCCAAAACAATAATGATACAATTAAAGATCCTACATCTGTACCTGTGCATCACCATATCATTTTGCACAGATTTTGATAACTAACCCTCAACATTCGTAACTGATGTAGTGTGAGCATATTTTATTGAGAGAACTATGATTTGATGTGACCCGGTTTTTGAGTTACACACATATATCTTCAAGTAAGAGTTCAGTCCTGAGGTAATACATCTCTGTGGTTGGTTGTGTTATTTGTCTCTTTATAGAGGAAACACACCTGCCATTACTTCATGTCGGTGCTAAATAAAGACTTCAACGAAACTAAACAACTTGGTTCCACAATGATCTCCACAATTCCTAGCGTCACGCAATGTTAGAAAATGGCTCAGGGTTGTTTCTGTTATTATGTAATTCTCTTCCCCAAAATAAAAGAAATCCCTCATAATCCTTGCATCATAATACCTACGATACAAAACACTTAGAAATCCAAGATCAAGGTAGTAGTTGTAGCTTTATTTTGTGAAAACATACAAAGGTTTTGTGTCATTGTGAAACTACATAATTTGAGACCTTCGCACGACAAGGCCAGTTTTCCTGACAGATCAACCGCCAGATGTGAGGATCTATGTAACAGTCCACAAAGCCAAACATGGTTGCCAATGGAATTGTCTGGAAGAACATTGACATATATATATTTTTCTCTCTAAATGACTGAATTTACAATACAATGACAATGTTAGGATTGTTATCAATGTTTTTCACACTTCCCAGTGGTCTTATGTTGTGTGTTCTCCCACAGGTACTCCTGGTTCAGGAAGGCAACATCAACTGAGGACATGATGCAGGATTACACTGTAGATCAAATCTGTCAATGTCGGAGTAATCATGATGGTGATCACTTTTTGGTTACAGGAGTTGAAATGAGACTGGTACAGATGCAGTGCTGCAGGTGACTAACAGCGAGCGGTTTCCATAGGAAGCTTTTACTGTGGAATTTGGAAGGTGACTGTGTGGTGAAGCGAGGGGGATGGAGCGAAACGGTAAAGCCACTAGAGACATGCTGGAGGGGGCTGGTAAGAGCTCTTCAGGATGAGTCACAGAGAGGGAAAGATTCAAGAGTAAACAGAACACATCTTAAACTGATTCACAGAGGTTTAACAAAATTACATCTAACAGTCACTCATCATCACAGTGTAAGGAGATGATGAGTGCATAGATATACTTAACTTTGGGAAGAGATCGTCTGAATGAGAATCTTTGTTACACAACACTGACAGATACTTAATCCCTCTCGAGCAGGAGGTGTGTGTGTGTATGTGTGTGTGTGTTGGCTAGGGAGGGGGGGCTTCCTTTACTCTAGTCTCAAACAAGTGATATGAAAGGTAGATCTAAGTAGAGTGACCTCGTTCAATATTTCCCACACACTAATCCCATATGGAGGGAGAAGAAAAGGAGGGAAGACGGTGCCGGTGGCGGACAGTGTTGTGGAAGGATTAAGATGCGAACAGGACATCTCCTAAACCACATCATACTTATCCCAGGGTAGTCACTGGAGCAGGATTACATTATATTTGGCATATGGGTCCTTACTGCACGTTAAGGCATATCTTGAAGTGCTTTGAAAGGCTGGTCATGGCTCACATCAACACCATCATCCCGGAAACCCTAGACCCACTCCAATTCTCATACCGCCCCAACAGATCCACAGATGACACAATCTGACAGCCTATAGGGAAGAGGTCAGAGACCTGGCAGTGTGGTGCCAGGACAACAACCTCTCCCTCAATGTGAGCAAGACAAAGGAGCTGATCGTGGACTACAGGAAAAGGAGGGCCGAACAGGCCCTTATTAACATCGACGGGGCTGTAGTGGAGCAGGTCGAGAGTTTCAAATTCCTTGGTGTCCACATCACTAACAAACTATCATAGTCCAAACACACAAAGACAGTCGTGAAGAGGGCACGACAACACCTTTTCCCCCTCAGGAGACTGAAAAGATTTGGCATGGGTCCCCAGATCCTCAAAAAGTTATACAGCTGCACCATCGAGAGCATCCTGACCGGTTGCATCACCGCCTGGTATGGGAACTGCTCGGCATCCGACCGTAAGGCGCTACAGAGGGTAGTGCGTACGGCCCAGTACATCACTGGGGCCAAGCTTCCTGCCATCCAGGACCTATATACTACGCAGTCAGAGGAAGGCCCAAAAAATTGTCAAAGACTCCGACTGTTCTCTCTACTACCGCACAGCAAGCGGTACCAGAGCGCCAAGTCTAGGTCCAAAAGGCTCCTTAACAGCTTCTACCCCCAAGCCATAAGACTGCTGAACAATTAATCAAATGGCCACCCGGACTGGCCAATCCCTGTATATAGCCTCGTTATTGTTATTTTATTGTGTTACTTTTATTTTTTCATTTTTTTTAATTTAGTAAATATTTTCTTAACTCTATTTCTTGAACTGCATGGTTGGTTAAGGGCTTGTAAGTAAGCATTTCACGGTAAGGTCTACACCTGTTGTATTCGGCGCATGTGACAAATAAAAATGGATTTGATTTGATCTCAAACACATAGGAGGATAGGTGGGCCGAAGCATCTCTCTGAGATGTATAAAAGGAACAGTACACATATTAACCTATCGATGGCTGTTCAAAATGGGTAGGGTTTGGTTGCAGTGTGTTTCCTGTTGTCATTATGTAAACTGTTTGTATTTGTTGATGAGAAAACAATGGGATGTAGGCCTACAGGGAAACTAATAAGAAAATAGAAGAATAAAGGTGGACCTAACCACAAGTTCCCTTTTTTCTCAATATGCTACAGTTAAAGCCCATATCCCATCCTGAGTGAAAATAAAAAATGCTTTTTTGGAATACAAAATACCAGATGCAGGGTTTGGGATTGTATAATTGAATTATACAACATGAAGTGGCTAATGAGAGCCTGTTACAGCAGTAATTAATGTAGGCGGTACAGTGTGAATGAGTCTGTCTATGTGGACCTTTATTTTCTCTGGCTTTGGTAAATTTCCTGAATCCATTCAGATGCAAAACTTTGTCTGGTCAAATTAGATTATGATCATAATAAACAAGCAAATTCAGTTGATCAATCCAGTCTGAACTCTCAGAGAGTTCACTAAGTAGGTTTATTAATATCATTCCTACAATTCAACAAGTGGAACAAATTAAATACTTTCTTTCTTCCATGAGCCACTGTCTAATGTCAAAGAAACATGACCAACTGACATCTGACAATCTAGAAATTCCCATCACCCTTTATTTGTAACAGATCAATTCCTGTCTCCCTGCGTGTCAATCATGTTGAATGATCTGGAACCTTTTCTGTCTGTTTACAGCTAGGGTAGAGTACCCTAATTAGGGTCAGTCAACAACAGCCCCCTACTAAGTAGTGATTGATCCTCCCAGTCATCACGACCATTGCATGCATGGCTTCAACTGAGGACTGTCTGTTTAAACAAGGAAAGTGTTACGTAATGAAGGGCAAAGTAGTTCAATGTCATTCTTTTTGCAGCTAAATGGGGTGAATCCTCTGCTTTGTTCATTTTATTACTATTTATATTGTATTATTATTATTTTAACCTGTATAAATGTTGTTTTAGAAATGTGCTGAAAATTCTAATTATATGGGAAACGGAAGGTGGTGTTGGCTTTGTACGTGGAAAAAGATAATAACTTGTTTCATCGTTGCTAAATCCCAGTTTTTAGAATACAGATGCAGAATCACAACCAAGTTTTACCAGTAAGGATCACCTGGCCATACAGAGTTAACTGTGGGATTATCCGTTTCATTACAACATCAACTTTCCTCTCATTTTCATGAGCTTCTGTTCCCTGTGTTTATTTATATATCCCTCCCTGTCCCCGTCTCCTGTTTATTGCTCTGGTGTGCTGTAGGCTACTCTACAGATCCATCCTTTATCGACATTTTCCTCTGCACACATTTACTGTAACTTTGACATTTGGATGTAATCCATTATTCTGAATGGGTCCGTAAACCCTGGGTTGATTCACTCTCAGTTTGTGAACAAAACATTGAGATTACCTCAAACACAGAATAAATGAACCTACAGAGGAGCAGGTTTTACTGTCATAACAGCGGATGACTATGACTGATGCCTGGATGCCCTAGAGATGAAATAGGATTGAACTGTATAATAAAGTACCTGTTTGCTCTATCCCTACACAGCAGTTTCCTTGATGTGTATGACTATGGACTGGGTGACGCAGTGCCTCATTGAGCTCTAGATTGATGGAAGGACAAACTTTAATGGGGAATGGTAGTGTTTAAGTGTCTCATGCAAATGTCTTGAGCAGGTATTATTGTCAAGTATTTAGTAGGAGATATCCAAATAACCAAGTTCACTATTGTAAATTCAAATATTGCTCTGACCAGTTTAAATGTATCTTTGATAAACTATTAACCCAGTTTTTTTTTTTTTTTTCTCAGTTAAACCAAGGTTAAGCATCTTATCAATAGTAGAATACCCAGGTGAGAAATGGCAGCTGTTCCAGTAACCATGAAATAGAAGAGGCATTTGATTCTCACTGGGTTCAGAACTAGGCTTCATTATTTGTACATTATCTTTTTGAAAATTATTTTTTAAAGGCTGTGAAAAGAATAGTAACACATTTTCACTTCGTGAAGTCTGTCAATCCTATTTCCCACCACAAACGTCTTGACATTGTAATGTGCATTGGACACTGGGGACCTTTACGCATTTTAGGTTATGATTTAAGATAATTGATAAATAGGCCAGGCTTACTCACCTTAAAAACAACAAGTTATTTTGTTGTGCAGCTTGCTTGTTGTTTAGATCCACTTCTGAATTGTAACCTGAATTCTGAATAGTCCACTCACTCTTTGTAACCTGAATTCTGAATAGTCCACTCACTCTTTGAAATGAAGGATGTGTAACCCAAAGAGTCTCTGTTGTGCACCTTGCCTTTCGGCAATTGTACTATCCTGTTCTGTTTCCACTCTCATATTCCTTTAACATAAATCACACATTTTTGCATATCTTTATTGTTTTTTTCCCTTTTGTTTTTTAATCCTTTGTTGTCCTCTGCTACCTTCTAACTGACTGCTGTGTCCTGTAATCCGGTCAGTGCGCGCTCTCCTCGACAGACTCGTGCACTGGAGTCTCCAATTGCTGTGTCAATTTACTCTGTGAAAAGTGTGTGGGTTCGAGGGGGAGAGGGGGTGCTTGTCAGTTTGATTATGTCTCCCTCACGTCTTTATATATATGTGTAGGAGTTAAATGATGCGTCCCCTTCTCATTTTACTGATGACTGCATCTCAAATCTATGTCTCATTGGAATAATAGTGGTTGAGATTAATATGAAGTAGTTGTAGAAATGGGTATCAAAGTTGTTATAACCTTGTTAATACACTACCAAGCTACTTGGACTGAATTTTGCCACTAAATCGCGTATTGAACTCTGTATAGAATAAACCATAATTTCAGTTCCTTGACATTTTTACCCACTCACAGTGGCTCTCAGGCTGGTTTCCAGCCCATTATCTCTGCCAGTGCAGTCAGTCTCACTGTCAATGCATGTTAGTCTCCAACCACAGTCATACACTCCCCTAAGGCACTCTGCCAGACCTGGTGCACTTGGAGTGGTAATCTTCACTCCTTTACATAAGAGGACACTTTATAAAGTGTAGTATTGTAAAGTTGTTCTCTTTTTCTCTTGATTTGGCACCATATTTATGAGAACAGTTATTTGTGAAATAGATTTTATCAACTCCATGACAGTGTACACTACCGGTCAAAAGTTTTAGAACACCTACTCATTCAAGTGTTTTTCTTTATTTTTACTATG